AAAGTTTAACTTAATGATGGATCCTCGACTCGAAAACCAATATTCGATCAAGTCGGCTCGAAATCGCTAAGTTAACAGATACTTATTTAGTAAAAAGTCAGAAGCAGCGGCCCAAGATGAGTGAGGTGGTGGATAGCCTAAAGGAGATAATCCAAGTTTCGGAGGAAGTAAACGCCGAGGAAACGGAGAGTCCTCTCAAGGCAGATGAAACAGACGAGAACTCGAATAACTCGAATAACGGAGTGTCGGAATCATGGAAGAGGCGGATGGCACATCTAGCGAGATTAGGAGAGCGTGTATAAGGTGCAAGTAGGAGGAGATTGATGATGTGAAGTCGTTAGATCAAGTTATACGGATGACATTTCATAATTCGGAGGTCTTCCACGAAAGTTGTTCTTAACCTGACGTTAGAAAAGCCTACTATCCTACCTCCCCTTACTCCATTACATTTGAGAATAAGGATCAGCTAATTTTTGCCTGCCTTCATTAGTGTTGTATAATGGCCTAACTAGGTACGTTAATCACTGTAAAATATGAATTTTTGTTTTCGGTAGAACGATGGTATTTATATATCCGATGCCATTCCGCCCTTTATAAACATCCAAACCCTCAACCATCAAACCCCAGCAAAAAAGAAGAAGAAAACAAAATACAAAATTCTCTCAAAGTTTCTTCTTTGCTTTGTTTTGTTTACTCAAAATTGATACATCATTACTGGATTAAGCCACAGCAACCGTGCCGGTCCGTACAGTTTTGTTAGCGGCAGAGTTCTGGGCGTCTGATTTCCTTAGAGATCTACCGGATCTCCAGTTCTTCTCTCTCGCTTCATCGATCTCAATCTGTTCTTGCCTACACTCTTTGCTGCAAAACGGTGTATTCCCTCTGGAAAAAAAATCAAAAATCAAAAATCAAAATTTTCCATATTGACTAAAATCTCATATCTAAAAACGATTCAATGAATAAGAACAACGAATCATCATTGACTAACCTGTACATGAAAATATCGGAATTATGAAGCGATTTGCGGCAAAGAGAGCATGCATCAAGGTAGTGGGCATCGTACTGATCTTGACACCCGGAGTAATAATAATAATAATAACCCGACATGATTCACTGAAATCGACCGATTTATAACAAAAACACAAAGAGAAAATAAAAGAATGGCCGAAGCTGAAATTTTGCAGTTTTGAGAAGGAAGAGTGGCTGTGGCTGTGGCTGTGGCTGTGGCTGTGGGAAGAACAGAGAGGGAGAAGCAGTTTAACCTTGGTTGCTATATTTAAAGGATACGGGGCCTCAAGACTTTTTAAAAAGGGAAAGCTTTGACTTGGGGCAATCAAGTACTACACGCCCCATTATATAAAACCTACATCCCCTTATTTTTAATTACGCGTGTTAGACTTTCATTGGAGTATTAAGTGGTTTATGATGCGCTCCTGTGTTACGCTATTTCATCTCCCTAAAAGTTAGTATATTTTTTTAGTGGTAATAATTTATGAATAAGAATAAAATTTAATATTTTTTGCATGTTTTTCAGTTGAGTCCTCCGGGTGTGGGTATTTCTTGTACACCCCATGAGTTTTCTTTTCTTTTCTTTTAAGTATTTGGATTCTTTTCTCTTGGACACTTGGCCATGGAAATAAATTATATAATTTTTATTTTACCAAGTGGGATGCAATAATCATTTGGCCTTGAGATGCTCTTTTCCATTAATTGCTTACTATTCACTGTTTAATTAACCTAATTGCTCCATTAGGTTGCCAATGAGTTTCCCTTCATTAGTTTCATTTATTATGATTCATTGAACTCAACTCTTAAACGGTCCACAGATTGCCTTGGATGGCATTTGTTGATTAAATAAGAACACATTTAATTACGTTGTATTGGATGGCATTTTTAAGTACATATAAGTAAAACATGTAATAAATATTGCCTTTGTGCCGTCTTTGGTTGTATTCATGCATAATGGTCCATAGATTATGTCGCAATTCTTATACAAATCAGCTGCCCGCCCTTTGTTTTCGCATATGATTTGATTGACAGTGAACCCACAAAGTGAATAATGATTGGTGATAATAATATTTTCAAGTTTATGGGAGATAACAGACGAGATGGGAAAATATAAATAATTGAGAGGACTCTTTAGCAATTATGGCGGAAAATGGGGGCAATATAGAGCCCTCAATATAACACTCCAACTCGTACCCGATCCGAATACGAGTCTGAGATGTCACATTGCCTTTTTAAAACATTTTTCCTTACAAAATAACAAAACATTTGAACTTATTTTAAGAAAATACTATAAAAAAAATTATTGAATTATGTTTATTATAAAATTTTAGGCAAAAACGTATTTGTGTACATTAAAACACGTATGAACAACAATCTGCTACAGTACCGTGAACAATAACTGCTACAGTAACCTGCTACAGCATTGATTACACAAATTTTCCAGAATGCAAATAGGGAATCGGTACCCTGCTACAGGAATCGATTCCCCTGCTACAGTACTTTCGTAAAACGTACATAAAACTCATAAAAATTTAACCGTTCATTACTATACATTTACATTTACATAAATACGTTCAAAACATTAGAAAAGTCGATCAGAGCGTTAGTACTAACAACTTATTACATTTCTTACATGCCAACATATTATACACAATCAAAATACATACTTTATTAATTACTTCTGATAAGATCTTCTAGCAGTGTTGTTGTTTTTGCCACTTCTATTTCTGCTAATCTTGGTTCTTCGTACCTACGTGTAAATCACTTACACGCTAAGTCATAGACTTAGTGAGGCATAATAATAATAACAATGAAATATAACAATGATGCTATAATAAAATGAAACGTAACGAAAACATCTATGCAATCAATGTAAGCTACATAACAATGTACCTTACCAATAATCTTCTCAATTTAATCATCATAAATTCATATAATAAATTTTCGTAAGTTCAATAGATTCAATAGCCCATGATACAATACTGAGAACATGAGGTATGTGAGTACTGTGAGGTTGTGCACTATGCTGTCACCACAACTCATATAAATTTGCACCGAAGTGTCACGTAGAATTTGTCCCGAAGGACCGCGTAGAGATGCACCGAAGTGCCACGTAGAATTGCACCGTAGTGCCATATAATATGTCCCTAAGGACCACATAGAAATTCCTTAAGAATCATATACATATACCAAGGATCAAGTAAATGTCTCAAAAGACATCATACAAGCTCCAAAGAATACATATACATCCCGAATGACCACATAGAATTTTGTCCCGAAAGACCGCGTAGACCCTCTACTCTTGGCATACCAACTATACCTATAGTTCTCATCTACGTAACATGGGCTTTTACATTTCACGTAGTTTATATCGCGTAGACATATAACTTCTTACCTTTATCACATAGATCATATCATCTTTTCATGTAATCATATAACTCCATGTTGCATAACTGGTCTCACATTTTCATGTAATACATAAATCATGTAAAACAATACATATAACACACATAACATATGATCATAGTAATGTACACTTAGAAATCATATTATTACTCATGTATCAAGATATAAAATCTAGACTTATCACAAGTCTAGATCTGAATGTATTTCTATAATCATGCTATGCATATGCACTCACCTAAATCTCTTTGACTTTCCCTCGATCGATCTTACTTGTCCCTTGTTCCAGAACTCGTTTAGGCTCGATATCTACATGAACATAATTTTCGAGACAATTATCAAAATCCTAAACCTTGCAATTAACCTCTAACAGCTTAAACAAATTTAATGAACCAATTTCAACTTTTCCTTTAGGGGAGTCGATTCCCCCCAGGGGTATCAGTTCCCTCTGCAAAATCTGTAAATTTTATTGTTCAAGCCCGAAAATCATCAACCCTTCACTAAATTTTCTCATACAAAGTTCCTTTCATACTATCAAACTTAACTACAACCATTTTAACTAACTTCTATCATTTCAACACTTTATTATTTCCAATATTTCATTCAAATTCTTAAAACTAAGAATCATACCCAAATTTCAAACATGTTATTAATAAATTCTAACACTCTATATTCCTTAATTAACCTCTTGAAAAGTCAAAAATCTTATTCAAACCTCAAAAACTCATCCATATCAAAATTTCATCTAAAAGCCCATTTTTCAAATCTATCTCTAAAACATTTATCTTGTTGTTTTAATGTCATATAAGCTTTCATTTAGCTTATATAACATCCAAACTTCAATTTCCAAGCTAAAAAATCAAAGAAACGACCAATGTTTAGATTCTTAACTTAAGCTTGGGTCTTCACGTTTAGAAGAAGAGAAGAGTGAAGAAGATAAGAAATATGGAAACTTATCTCTTCAATTCATTCACATGGGTTATAATACCCACAATTTATTATTTTATTCCTTTATTTGCTCAATGACCATCTTATTTCTCCTTCACTTATTAATCAATCCTACACCAACATCTTTCAATTAATTCCTTTACTTTTCAATTTATTTAGTTTGGTCATTGAATAAAAAATATCTTACACTTAAATCACTAACCCGGTATTGAGGATGTTACAATCAATAATCTTGATTTTTTTTGGATAAATCGAATTTTATTATCCAAAAGAGCAGAGTTCTACTACAAAATACAATCAATCAATCTGAACAAAATAATTATAAACAACCTACTTACAAACAACAGAGATTGGTTAGACTATACCTTTTGCGATACAAAGGTTATAGTTATTTCTATCATTTCTATAAATATATTTACCCTTAAGTTGAATTCACACAGCTTCAATAATAACCTTAAGCAAGTCCTCGGTTGATCTATGTCGACCTTGGAAAATTCTGTGATTTATTTCCTCCCACAAATATGTAGATATAAGCAGTCCAAGAGATCTTCAAGATTGTGGTGAGCAAGGATTTCCCTTTCCATGTTGAAGATGCCCAAGCAACCATATCATCACATGTTGAGGATGCATTTTTCAAGCCATTAAGCGGCAGAATGGAGTTCCAAAGATGAAAAAACAAGAGTACATTGAGTGAAAAGATGGTTTCTTGTCTCTTGGTCATTACTACAGTTTACACAGGTCCATTCAGTGTTAATTCCCATTTTGAGCAGCCGATCTCTTGTGGGTAATCTGTTCAGCAAAGCCATCCAAGCAATCAAACTAAATTTTGGAATGTGCAAGGGAAACCAGATAAGTTTGTGACAAGATACTTTCTCCCTTTTGTTTCTAATTGAATCCCAGATGTCTCTTAGCCTAAGTGAATCGGAAGTAGAGAAGATGGGGAATACAGTAGGATGCATTTTTAACATTCTGTTTATATTCCACCTCACATTTGAACCTGCAACATAATTCCAAAACTCATGTTCTTTAAAAATATAAAATTTTAACCATGCAACCCAAAGCGATCCATCACCCACTAAGATTTTCCTAATGAGATCAATAGTACACGCTTTGTTCCATGTTTTTGTGTTCTTAAGACCAAGACCACCTTCGGCTTTTAAGAAATAGATAAATTCCCAGTTGACTCGAGCACCTGCAACTGCCTTCTCTTCACCTTTCCAGAAAAATCTGGAACAGAGCTGGTCCACTTTTAAAAGAATCGAATGGGGTAGGATAAGATGTCTGTACCAGTAATTCGAGACACTGAAAAGGACAGAACGGATGAGTTCAAGTCTGCCAGCGTAACTCAGATCCCTATTAGACCAATGGTGAAGCCTCTGTTTAATTTTATCAATAAGGACTGCACAATACTTCTCAGTAAGTTTACGAGTAACTAGAGGGATACCTAAGTATCTCACAGGCAAGCTGCCATTTTTTAAACCAGTAATCTGTTGAAAAAAGTCCAATGTTCTTGAAGAACAACCAGCAATGAAAATCTCACATTTGGAAGAATTAAGATGAAGCCCAGAGATTTCATTATAATGATCAAGAACAATTAAGATGCCCATAATAGAGTCAGCATTACCCTTACAGAATATCATTAGATCATCAGCAAAAGAAAGATGGGTTAGGCCAATCCTTTTGCATTTAGGGTGGTAACCAAACACTCTTTTTGTAGCAGCCAAATTAAGCATCTTAGATAAAACATGCATAGCAAGAAAAAATATAAAAGAGGAGAGTGGGTCACCCTGCCTTAATCCTCTAGCTCCCTTGAAATAACCAATAAGAGAACCATTGAAAGAGATGGAATACCTTGCTTGAGTGAAACATGTCTCAATCCAAGCAAATAAATCTTGGAGGAAGAAGAAGGGCTTTGAGAATAGATGAAATGAAATTAGGAATGGAAGAACGACTCGAATCCGACGGGGAAACTCGAAACCCGGCTAAGTTCGGGTCAGGTCGGATTTGAATAATATCGGGTCGGGTTGGGTATTAAGGTAAAATTTAGGGATTTTTTCGGGTTCGGGTTCGGGGCAAGGTATCCCCGCCCCGATTATATATATATATATATATAATATTTTATATATTTTATATTAATTATATAATATAAACCCTAAACCTTAAACATTTAAATCTTAAACCCTAAACCCTAATTTTTATAATTATTAAAGTAAATTTTGGTTGATTTTTTTGATAAATTTCTCAATGTAGGGAGCTACCAAAGAAAGTGACAAAAGTGGCACGATGATTTTGGATGACTTTATTTGACTTAATATTACGTATATATCTTCGTTGTATGATTTGAATATTAGAACAAGTTTGTATTTGATTATGTATGTGTTTTATTTTAGAGTTTAGACAATTATTTAGAATTGAGTTTGAATTTGTGATTGTAGTTTGAATTGTAAATCATGTAGACTAATTTTCTAAATTTTTTTTGTGATCGTTTTTTTCTATTTTTTTATGAAAACGACGGTTGCTCGGTTTTTTCTCGGGTCGGGTTTGGGTTCTCTGGATCAGGTCAGGTTCGGGGATGAGACAAAAAAATTCCCGACAGGACGTCCCAATAAAAAACCTACTGAGAATGAATCGGAGACGAAAATTTATTTTGAAAACAAGGATGAGGGGAGCAAAACACGCCCCGTTGCCATTCCTAAATGAAAGAAATTAAAAGCCTTATGAAGATAATTTTTATGGAGCATAAAGGGGAGATTGATTTCCTACCATAGCCTTTGACCATTTCATAATATAAAAATGGGGGAAATTGTGTGGGCGCTTCATGATTCTACTGGAGAGGACTTGGACCGCTTGTTTTATTATTACTATCATTTTTGTCCAACTAGGAGTTGAGTAATAATGGGGTATTGTTTGTAGGGTCCTCACAATTTGTGGGAAAATAAAATGAAACCGGGCTTGGAGCTGAGTAGACGTAGGCCCCACATGCCCAAACAAAAGCATCTAATAATGGGGGCCCTCCTGACGCATGATCTCGCTGGCCCTTTTCCTAGGTCCTTGTCCCCTGGGTCCACGACTGGGAATGAGGGATCACCAGCACAGCTAGCATCGATTCATCTGCACGTGCTACGTGGCGGTTATGTGGAATGAGATTCTGGGTTCTAGGAACGGTCACGATTCACCTTGCTCAAAGGCGGATCTTGCGCCAAGCTGGACCCGTCACGTAACGGAGTGAATTATTGAGAGGTGTAGAGATGCGGTGGGGGCCCAGTAGCATATGCTTCTTGCTCCCATTCCTCAGCTGGATCACGAGCATGTCGCGTGAAGTCAATTGGGTGATATATCTATAATTCTCTTAAATATAAAATTAAATTCTATCAAAAAATATAAACTTAAATTAAATGACGTGGATAATATTTTATGAAATAAAAAATATTTTGATCACAACTCTCATCAGCTAAGATGAGAGAGAGAGGATCGACTAACAAAATTGTTAAAAACTAGGTTGGTAATTATAATCAACAAATTACAAAATGGCGTGCTTAGTTTAGTGGAATTGCAAAGTTGGTTTACTTGTTGATTGATAGTGATAGTGATTTGTGAGAATAAATCAAAGAGGCAGGGAAGTTGTTAATTCAAGCACTCAGCCAGCGATATTGCTACTTGCTACCTCCGACATTCCATTATCAAATCAAATAATCAAAGTTTTCAAGATTTATTAGTTAATTAAATAATTAAAGATGTTCATATTTTTTAATTTATATTAGTTTCGATTAAAAAAAAACTGTTATTTCTTATTCTGGTCTGTGAATTACTTGTTAGGTTTTGGATTTCATATTTTCATGTTAACCTTTTTTTTTCAATTTCATCCTTGTCCCAATTTTTAAATGAAAGTTAATTATGTTTATGTAATTATTTTTTTATTTTAAAAATGTAATAATAAATTAATAATATTAGTATTCGAATTAATATAATGTTCACCTAATAATTATTTATTGTTTTTGGTTAAAGAGTAAAAGAAGGTTAACCGTGGCCTATACCGCCTCTCAGAGATGTCGAAAGGTGGATGGTCCAAAACCGATGGCCCCCAGCACACATTTCGACCAATATTGGCCAGCTTATCAACAAGTTGATTTGCTTCGCGATGAATATGTTTAAAAGTGAGTGTCCACTGACGTTTGGCTCTTGCCGTACACGCCGCGTAAGAGCCGGCTCGCAATCCTGTTCAGGAAAATTGAGTGCATCCACCACCTGTTTATTTTCAGTTTCCACAACAAGTCGGTTCACCCCCTGCTCCACGCTAAGCGCAACTACCATTCTCGTTATGAAGCACTCCCCCACTCGGCCTTCATTGTTGCAGGGTTCACACTGCCATCTGTGTTAAGTTTAGCCCATCCGGGTTGAGGAGGACGCCACTGCTGATTGCTTTTGATTTTCACAGCATTCGGGTCGTGTGAGATGTTGTTCTTGATGATCCCTGTCCAACTTTTGGCCGAATCGGTAGCAGCTGCAATGGCACATATTCGACCATTAAAGTTGAAGTCTTTTTGAGTTTTCCAGAGCTGCCAAATGAGGACGCCAAAAAGGTTATTCCAATGCCAATCACCGTGAGTTATACCTGCAGCATTGGTTAAATTAAATTGCAGCCAATCAATTAAAGAAGTGAAGGAAAAGAAAACCGATTCAATTCTTCTAGGAACTAAGCTTCTCCAAATGGTACGGGCTTGGTGGCCTTGTTGTTGGTCAAGCGTTGCTCACCTCTTATGACGCTGCAATTGGGTTATCAAGCTCCGATTCTGTGCCGTCGGGATCCATGTTAGATTGATGGCGGATCTGCCTGCAGGTCATGAACATGTTGCATCCACATTAATCTTCAGTATTGACTCGGGTGCCGTCGGGATCCATGTTAGATTGATGGCGTAAACCTCCCGAGTCAATACTGAAGATTAATGTGGATGCAACATGTTCATGACCTGCAGGCAGATCCGCTATCGGCGTTGTGGCTCGCAATCATAATAGATTAATCGCAGAATGCCATGTTGTGCCTTTATCCGGGCCTTGCGATGTAGCCGTTGCTAAAGCTGCTGGGATTACAACTGGAATTCATATGGCTATTGCACTCAATTGGCCCCGTGCAATCATCGAATGTGATGCTGCAAACGTGGTGCGATGACTAACAACGCAAATGCTGGACTTATTAACAATGGGGTTTCATTTACAGGCAGCTCGTCGTATGCTTCAAGAACATCGCTCCATCCAAGTTCAAGGCATTCATAGAAGATCAGTCTTTTTCTTTTTCCAAATTTTAACCAATAATCATATTTCAATTCATCTCGACTTTGTCAAATTTTAAAAAATGAATTATTTACGAACAAATAAATTCATTTATTTTTATCAATAATTATAATATTTTATATTATGTCTTTTTCGCATTATACATGTGTCATAACCATTTTTAAGTGAAACAATTAAATATTATTTAAAAAAACGATTACGACTTTATTTTGGAAAATTTGGGTGATTTTGAATTGATTTTTATAAAATTGAAAAGAGTCGTCATCGACCTTTGGGTTAGGTAGGTTGAATACCTAAAAACGTCTTTTAAAACAATTTTAAGAAAAATCATTTTTTAAGACAAGATTCGGTCTGCGTTCCCAAAGATTCATATAAATGGATTCGGGAGTCGGTTACGTGCGGGGAAGGGTAAACACCCCCACAACGCCCAAAATTGGTACTGTGTCGCTTACATATCGTTGTAAATGGTGGAAATTATAAATCGAATATAAAGTTAAAATATGATCTATTTATCGAACATTGATTAATTTGCTTCGAATTAAATAATTAGAGAAAATTCTTTAACCCGAAAAGAAATCTCGAAATTAGCAATCCTCCATCGGGAAAGCTAACTCGACTATTTCTTATCCATAAAGAATATTTCCCTCTTGATAAAATGCGAATCGAATATAAATAAAATTGACGTTTGCATACAACAAAATAAGTTGATTAACTAAAAAATGAATCGAAAATAAAATGAAAAAATTTGGAGTTTACATAAAATAAAGTAAATTGTTACACACATTGCATCAGTTAAACAAATTAATTAATAAAATATACTCAATTTATTTCAAGTTCCTATGTCGTTAAAATGCCGTATGTGATTGCACCACTTCGACCAAGTGATACTTTCCACGCTCATTCTACGCATACGTGTTCTTGAAAATAAAAACCAAATACTTCATACATAGATAAAAATATAATATAAAAATGTAATTGCAAATACAAAAATAAAATATTTACGTTAAATGAAATTAAGAACATTATTTGCATAATACAAATAACCGAATAACAAGTACAATAAAATCATACATAAATGACTAAAATAAAATATTCACAAATATCAGGGATAAATTCGAAGATTAACAAAAATACCTAACATATAAAATCAAGGACTAAAATGAAACTATTACAAACATTGGGACCAAAGTCAAGTATCCACAAAAATGACATAACATACATTAATAGGACTAAAATAGAAATACATAAACATAATGGACTAAATTAGTAAAAGCAGAAATTAACAGGGCTAAAAAGTAATTACAAAATAACCAGGGCCCAAATCACAAACAACAACTAATACAAACATCAGAAATGTGAATAAGCCATAAATAATACTTAGGACTAGATTGAAATTAAAACAGAAACATGAAGGCTGAATAATAATTAAACCAAAAAGTAAAACAAGGACTAAAATAAAAAGATTTATAAATGTGGTGGCCAGATTCGAATACCACAGAAAAATACACAATGAACTAAAACAGTGACTAAAATGAAATAATTACAAATATGAGCTCAAAACAAAGTATTTACCTAAAATACAATAATGAACAAATAGGGATCAAAATGAAAAGATATAAAATATCAGGCCACCATTATAATTTAAACAAAACACCATAATAATAAATAAATAAGGACTGGAATGAAATACATGAAATATACATTACTTAAATAAAAATATACTAAAATAGTATGACCAAATTGAAATAATACCATAAAAAAAATTAAAACAGACAAGGACTAAATTGCAACGTTAAACAAGATAGGAGCTCAAAGTGAAAGGCCATTAAACTTCCATTCATGAAAGAAAACCGAAGGTTTACAAACTACAAGGACCAAATATAACATTAACCCCTAAAGTCCAAGACACGGGTAAGAGTTTACAAAGGAGCGAGGACTAAATGGGCTATTAACCCTAAAAAACCCAGGCGCTCGACCTCCCTACGCGACGTCGTTTGACGTCTGATACATAACCCTTTTAAGGGTTATTTTGAAACCCTAAATCATTTGCTAGCTTCCCATTTTCCTCAGCCGTTTGGTTATCCCTCTCCCTTCTGTAATCTCTCCTTCCCTCGCTGCCGAAGCAGAACACTCAACCCCGGCCACCGTAGAACGGTGGCCACGAGGCCTCACACACTACACAGTTTTCCCCTAAAATCGACCTAAAACTAAACCCCTACTCACAACCCAAACCCGAAACCCCCAAATCCGAAAGGTAAAAAAATTACCTCCAAAGATAGAGCCTAATCACCCCGATGAAGCAATGGTGGTCGGTTATGGGTAAGCTTCGGTTCCTCTCTTTTTCCTTTCTGTTTTTTCTTTTTCTTATTTTCTCTCCTTTTTCTCTTTTTTTCTGTAAACCCGAATCTTCTCTCTGTATTTTTCTTTTCGTTTTTTTTTCTCTCGTTTGGTTCCCTTGATTTATGTTGAGTATTTGGTGAGATGATGATACCTAGTGTAGGGCATGGCTTTTTCTGATTTGGTGGGATAGAAATCCCGAATATTTAGGGATTTATTGGTATTTTAATTTGGAGTTTAGATTTTGTGAGATTTGAACTGTATATGATATATTTTCTTGATTGGTTTTGCTGTAGATGACAATAGTGAAATAGTTGGGGTCAGACCGGAACAGTGATGGTGGCGGCGTCAGAGGAAGATGGAAAAGCCAAAAGGCGGCTGGTGGCTGAGCTGTTAGGGCTCAGAACTAGGGTTAGGGTTTCAGACCTAAATGGCCTTTGATCTGGACCATTGGATGGGTCCAGATCAGACGGTCTTGATGGTGCGGCGCTGAGGCAGAGAAGGGGTAACCCTAGCGGGTTTGGGTCGATTGCTGGGCCGCAGGTCTGGGTTGGTAGTTGGGCTTGATGTACATGATGGGCTTCGGGATTAGGCCTGCTGAGTTGGATAGCTAGTGGGCTCCAAATTTGGTCTTATAGTGGCCTACAAAAATGTAACATGTATATTAATAATAATAATAATAATAATAATAAAAAAAAAAAAAATAAATATAAAAGACCCGGACAAAAACGGGTGTCTACAGCTGCCCCTCTTTGCACATACTTGTGTTAACAAGAATATGGCAAAGACGACAAGACAACACGTTTTTGTCTGGTTCTCCCCTTTTCCATAGAAATTGGATGATGCTGGTTGTTGGGGACGACACTGCTCATACATGATGAAGAGGTCTGGTCCTCTAAGGGAGACACGATTCCTACGTGATGAGGAAATCTGGTCAAGGGATGACACGGCTCATACGCGATGAAGAGTTCTGGTCATCTTTAAGAAGGGTGATAACTAGGTTCCTACGTAATGAGGACAGCTGATTATCTAAGGTTGACACGGCTCCTACGTGATGAGGAAGTCTGGTCGTCTAAGGGTAGATGACATGGTTCATACATGATGAAGAACTCTGGCCATCTTTAAGAAGGGTGATAACTCGGTTCCTACGTGATGAGGACGGCTGGTTATCCTAATGTTGACACTCTCCTTCGTGTCGAGGAGATCTGGTCAGTTGATGTTGACTGATTCATTGCTTCAATAATGAAATAAGTCTTGAAGATCCTGTAAAAATGGTCATATGCCATGATTTCATGTTAGCAATATGCCCTAAGGATGATCTAAATGCAAGTTTAAAGGGTTATGCTCAGCTCGATCCTAGCATTGGGAATCTCTCCTGCCCCTTGACCGGAATATGCGATATTTATGCGTTTGTCCATGCCTGGTTACTTCCTTGATCTCTCATTAAATATTCTTTGACTTGGTCCTTCTGATCTACCCCGAGAGAGTTTATCTTGCCTCTTAGATTCTTTGGTCATTGATTGATTTTTTTCTGAGAAAATTCACTCAAAATGGCCCCTCCTTGTTGCATGTCTTTATATTGTGACTTCTTTGCTTGAGAAAAGTATGATTATGTTGAAACTGATTTCTTTAATCTGAACCCTTTTTTCAATGGTTTGCTTAATGATTTATGGGAGCGTGTCTTT